AATATGTGCGGTGCCTGGGGTCCCATTCGTGCTCGGGCACGTGATGACCGGGACCATGAATGACTTCCGTCATTGTCCTCAGGAAAGGCTGCGCTTTTGGGCTCTGGGGTTGAGGGACTTTCAGCACACACCCCTGGGCGTCTACAGCAGCCGAGCTTAGTTGTCTTGAGACTAGCTTCACAGCTCCTCTTACAGGGAAGGGTAGTACGTGAGCCATAAAGAGCTTGCTGGGGCTTCGGTGGAAACTCTGCTGCTCTGATAAGAGGATCAGGCTTTTTGAACACCATCCTTCCCCTCTTCTTTCTGCGGGGCCCAGAAACATGAAGCCTGGAGCTGTGAGAGCCGTGGAGGGGCTAAAAAGCTCAAGAGAGCGTCCGAGGTGCTGGCCTCAATGCCCTTGCGCTCCTGCAACTGGACTCCAGGGAGAAAGAAATGTGCCCGAGGACCTCGAAGCTGATCTGGAGGGCTCACTGGGCAAGCTAAACCTTTTGTTTTGAGGAGGGAGAGCTGGAGAGGAAGAGAGCTGCAAATCCTCTCCTCAGAAAACACCAATACAGTATACTAATGCATATACATGGAATTTAGAAAGATGATAACGATGACCCTATATGCGAGACAGCAAAAGAGACACAGATGCATAGAACAGTCTCTTGGGCTCTGTGGGAGTAGGTGAGGGTGGGATGATCTGAGAGAATACCATTGAAACATGTATATTATATGTGAAGCAGATGGCCAGTCCAGGTTTGATCCATGAGACAGGGTGCTCAGGGCTGGTGCATTGGGATGACCCTGAGGGCTGGGATGGGGAGGGAGGTGGGAGGGGGGTTCAGGGTGGGGAACACGTGTACACCCATGGCTGATTCATGTCAGTGTATGGCAAAATCCACTACAATACTGTAAAGTGATTAGCCTCCAATTAAAATAAATTAATTAAAAAAAATTCTCTCCTCGGAATGACTCTGTCTCAGAGAAGTCTCAAACAAGTAGGGAGCCCAAGCTAAAGTCACAGCATATTAACACCACATGCTCTTCCCAGGTTTTCACAGCTCCAGCTCCAGACTAACAAAACCTATAATTAGTGCTCTGTCGCTGCCTTCCATGATGTGTGGCGGCTGTAGGCTCAGAGGTGGAGAGAGGGAAAAGGCCCCACGGACGACCGGGCACATATTCCAGAGGTACCCGCCTCCTCAAGGTCATTAACACCTCCCGCGTGATTCTCAGAGACAGCTGTGCACCGCCAGCCACTAACGCACGCAGCGATCGAAGCTCTGGGCACAGGCGAGGGAGGCGCTGGCCCAGGAGGGGCCGCAGCTCGCTCACCTTGCTTCTCTGCCTGGGGAAGCCAGCATGCGATGGGTTAAATCCGGGCCCTCCGAGAGGCTATTTACTTAAATATTTAAAAAGAAAGAAACTCGATTTGAAGGCGGAATCACTTATAAATAAATCCCATGACCCTAGGTTCTGAGGACAGCCACACAAGAAATCTCCAGGGTATTAAGGCAACCCAGCTCAGCTTGTACCAAGTCAGAGGGAAGGAAGGAGTGATAACAGAGACAAAAGCACATATGTGTGGTTATTTTCTCTGTATTTTTAATAAGGCAATAGGGCTCTCTATGCAATAGTCACACTCTTTGGAATAGTACATAAATTGGTCTTTGTTGATAAATCTGTGTTTTAAACACCCTAAGATAAACATTGGAAGGCTCTTATGATTCCCATATTTTTTATGAAGTATTGTTTTCTGTTTTTTAAATCACTTTGCCACGTTCTAGGTTTTTTTGAAATTGAAGTACACTTGCATATACAAACCTGTGCACTGAATTGCATTTCTTATTCATATTTAATACGTGTCTCCTCTTATTACAGCATTATTTTTAAATTGAAGTAGAGCTGATTTACAACACTGTGTGAGTTACAGGTACACTGGGTAGTGACTCACTATTTTTGCAGAATATACTCTATTAAATATTATTACAAGACCGTGGGTATAGTTCCCTCTGTTACACAGTAAGACCTTGCTGCTCATCTGTTTCATATGCAGCAGCTTGTTACTCCCACGCCCTGAGTTTCTCTTCCCTCCTCTCTCTCCTCTTTGGGGACCACAAGGCTTTCCTTTTTTCCAAGTCAATGACTCTGTTTCTGTTTTGTATATACATCCATTTGTATTACTTTTTAGATTTAATATTACATATAAGTAATATTATAGAGTATTTGTCTTTGACATTTCACTAAGCACAATATTCTCTAGGTCCATCTATGTTGCTGCCAATGGTAGTAGTTCATGCTTTTTTATGGCTGAGTATGGCTGTGTATAATGGTGTATACACCATTATATATGTATACACACACACACACACACACACACACACAATCATCTGAATTCAATCATTTGTTGATGGGCATTTGGGTTGCTTCCACATCTTGCCTATTGTATACAAACAGTGCTGCTGTGAGCACCGGTGAGTGTGTATATTTTCAAGTTAGTGTTCTCGAGTGTTTGGGGGTTGTACATTCAGGAGTTGCCTTGCTGGATCACGTGGTAGTACTCATTTTAAAAATCTTTTTAAGGAAGCTCCATACTGTTTTCCACCGTGTCTGCATCAATGTACATTCTCACCAATGGTGTCGGAGGGTTCCCTTTTCTCCACATCCTCTTCAACACTTATTTGCAGACTTTTGAAGATGGCCCTTGTGACAGGTGTAGGACAATCCTTCACTGTGGTTCTGATTTGCATTTCTCTAAAAGGCAGGGATGCTGAGCTTCTTGTCGTGTGTCTGTTGACCATCTCTCTGTTTTCTCTGGAAAATGTCTGTTCAAGTCTTTTTGCCCATTTTTGATTGAATTCAATGCTTTTTCTTGACGTTGAGTTATGTGAGATGTACTGGTTTTTAAAATACGCAGATTTTTATCTCAAAGGCAAATCTGCTATGCTTCCACCCCTCACCTTTTTGCTGAAGGAATAAATGTAGTATGATGTCTTTTTTTTATAAAAAGACAAGACTAAGTGCTTACTGCCATGGTTGCTGTGGTCTGCTGTCCAGACTGTTTGCGTTTAGGATGGAGGCATCCTTGTCCCCGATGCTGGGAGTGCTGGAGGCTCATGGCCCTCAGGGGTTTACCCTCAGCCATAGAGACCCAACTAACTAGGTACCCCCTCCCTGGGGGTAGCTTATGGTCAATGACAGTCTGTACTAGAATATAAAGGGCCTCTGCCCTTGCCTCAAGACTGGCCAACGCTGAAGACACAGTCCAGCTCCAGAGGACCCCCTGACGCCTTTGCTCAGCGGAGCTCAGCTCCTCTCTCTGTCCAACACTGACCCCTGAGGTCCTGCTCAGATGGTGACCCCAAGACCGCACCCCAGAAATCTCGTTTCACACAGATCTGCTTCTCTGAGTCTGTGTCCTAGAAACCTGATCTAAGACAGTCATCTTATTCTTCCTGAGACTTTCATTACTATAATTCTTTCATGAGTTATTACGGGAGAGGATCTGAGACCTCAGAGACATCCAGTTTAGGGGTCAAGCTTCCCTATCCTCCCCTCACTGCCCGAAATATTTGCTTATAAAGATGAAGGCAAAAAAATCCCCATTAAGTTGAAAGAAAACTGTAGGTATTTATTGACATGTGTGAAGTGATCCTTTTATTATAAATGTGTCAAGGACATTTTAATCATATCTAGTCCACACAAGCATGCACACATACACACAAAAGAAAAATAAATGAACTTAGGGAAAGAAACAAAAATAAATTTTCTTCATATTTCAAAATATTATTTAAAAATTAGCTGTGGATTATTCTCTCACCTGAAGTACCCGTTATTAAAAAATATTAACAATAAGAGTTATTAAACTGTGTTATTTCACTTTGCCTAACATACAAGAATGGTTAATTTAGTTTCCCCTTTCCTAATTGCACAATTGGGATAACAAACGATTCTGTGTAGAACTCAATCGCCGCATTGATGTTGTTTATTCTGACTCAGGGATCTCTTTTCTCCTTTCCCCATTCTCTTCTCTCTTCAAACAAGTTCCCCACATTTCTGTGTGAATTCACGTTGAAAGCTCAATTAAGCACAAACCATATTCCTCAAGTGATCAGCAGCCTTAGGTTTTTTCCCCTAAGGCAGTACGCATTTTTAGTTGTGATTTTAATACTTTTAATTATATTTACTCCTATAGATCAATGATTTTGCATCGATGACTCCGTACAGTCACACTGTGCTCACGTATTTCCCCTCCTTTTCCTACTTGGGTTCCTTTCCTTTTGCTTCTCTTGCCTTTATTTTGGCCATATTTCCACCGTGGACCCCACGTCAACACCGATGTGTATGCTTCATAATCTTTTTCTGAACTCACAATACTTTACAGATCTGTGCACATGCGCATTTACACACACATGTATAGATCTTGTGTACACTCTTCTATATTTTCCTTTCTCACCACCTCTCTTGTAGTCATCTATTTTAGGTAGAACTCACAATCCATTATGTGACTATGTTACAGTATTTTCAACCCTTCCACTACTGAAAGCTGTTTACTCTTAGGATGTTTTTGTCACAATGCTGCAGAAAATAAGGCCCACTTTTTAAAGGTGGATTTTAAGATTTTAAATATCACTGGTATAGATTTCTAAGGGTGAAACTGCAGGGTCAAAGGACATATGTCTTTTTAATATGAACAGATATGCCAAATTGTTTTCCAGGTTATTAAATTGCATATATATCAGCAATGAATGCTTTTCTCTACATACATTAACATTTTATGCCAATTGTGCTCACTTTTATTATACCAGACCTTTGCCTGACTAGGCAAACGATTTGTTGATGTTTGGCATGGTATCAGACCCACCTTAGAGTGTAGTGTGCAGGGACCATATGTGATTAATCCCAGTTCCAGCCAACTGTTGAAGCATGATTCCAGGAAATACACTGGTACCAGTTTGCAATTATAAGCCATGGTATCATGGCTGTCATGAGTAGGGCTCGCACATGGCACTCACCAATGACATACTCCACCCTGAAGAGATCCCTTCTGGGGTCATAGGGACGGTTGAAGTCGATCTGAATGTAGAAAGACTGTCCCCTGCGCACAATCAGCTTGTTGTTGACATACTTGTCTGTGTGGTGGTCCACCTTGTTGCTGTCCCACCTCTCCTTGAACAGGTGAACACCCGTGACATTCAGGTAGTCTACAGACAAAGAAAACAATCAAGGAAAACATTGAGTCATTTTGGCTTAAACACACACTCAAAAAAACAAGGCTATTTTTCCTGAAGACGCAAGGCAGTAGGTTTATTAGATAAAACTCTATACAGGGGGCTGGTAGATTTCAGAATCGGTCTCTTGTGACATCCTTGCATTCAAAGAAGACTTTTAAAAAGTCTTTTCCCCTGCTGACCCTGTTTCAGATCCCACTTCGGGGATAAGAGGGCAGTGATGGTGATGCCTAGTGTACAGGTCTAGATACAGAGAAACCAGGACTCGAGTCAAAGCTTCCTTTCCGAGTCTCACATTGGTGTTCATGCAGTCAGCTGCTTCCCGCAACGACTACAGCGTCTCTACAGTGGAAAAGGCAGGGAATATCAGGTTTCAATTTTTTATCTTTAAAAGGGGAGGGATCAAATCTGACCAAGCTTCCAAGGGATGTTCTGAGGACAAAGTTGACAATCCAAAATTCTTCTCTTATTCAGGAAGGGTAAACCTCCCTTTCCATAATTCTAAAAGGAGATCTTGTCCTTCAAAAGCAGGAAACAGAGGGAACAGGTGTGGAGGAAGCGTATCAGTGTTTCTACGAGGTCGGTAGGATTGTTCCCACATTGAACAGGCAGAAACACGCTTCACATTTCCCTGGCTACTAACCGACCAATCTGGAGGCAAACCCTGGTGTGATGCCAAAATCTTCAGGTTTTTCCTCTGATGTGTGGAATTTGGAGTGTAAATGTCAGTTATATATTTATCTGAGACATGATAACACTGGATGAAAGTTAAATCTCCTTTAGGTTTTATTCCCCATTTTGTCTGCGACGATTACTGGTGTGACGGCAACTGTAGTTACCCATCTACAGTGCAGTTTAGAAGATCTAGTCTAAAGGGGGCTTCCCTCGTGGCTCAGGCTAAAGAATCTTCCTGCAAAGCAGAAGACCTGGGTCCAGTCCCTGGGTTGGGAAGATCCCCCTGGAGAAGGGAGTGGATACCCACTTCAGTATTCTTGCCTGGAGAATCTCATGGACAAAGAAGCCTGGAGGTTATAGCCCATGGGATCTAAAAACAGAGTTCTGTGTATGCATTTGGGGTTCCAAAGGGCCACGGGGGAGAGAAAACTGGGCGAGGGATGGCGGAGGGTGTCCCGCCATCCTGACTTCCCTCTCGTTTCCAGGCCGTGCCGGCTGTATGGTTTGTGCTCACACAGTGTAGACGGCGTGCTGGGGGCTTCACCCCATAAGACTCACTGCCTTCTTTGCTTTTACACAGGAGTCTTGAGCGGATGCCTGGTCCCCTCTGAGCTCATTTTGTCTCATAGGCAAAACAGAGAAATTGGGTTCATTAAGATACTCCATAGTTCTGAAGTCTAGGAGTCCCTGAAACACCTGGGATTAATTCAAAGTCCAGGTAATCCTGAGTTTGATCTCAGCTCTCATCATTACTTAGGTCAGGGAGGTTGCCTCTCAGAAGCTGAGTTTTCTCACCTTTAAGATGAAGACACTGATTTCTTGAGACTGCCTACAACGATTGAATATCCTCATAGGAGAATGGGTCTGACGTTATATCTGGGACCAGAGGCTTCTTTGTGGCTCGCTGACTACGAACTGTGATGGAGTTATTTTATATTTCGCGTGGTGTGGTCCTCAACGAGCTATTCTGACCATGACACTGAAGCAAACGGAAAGCACAAGATGCAGTTCTGCGTTTACGGCATCTCAGAGCCCTGCTGGAGTGCATGGTCCCCAGGAGTGCAGTTTCCTTCCTTTAAGAGGCTGTGGGCCGAAGACGTTTATTTCTACACCTCTCTCTTCCAAACTGCCTTCCCCCTAAAGTCTCTGGTCTTATTAAGGTCACAATCCCCAGTGTAAAACTAGCTTCAGAAAGAGCTGAAGAATCATAAATGTCCCACTTGAGAAGGACCTCAGGAATCAACTCATTTGGCCCTCTTTCTTTACATCTTGACTTTTCATAATGCCGTTGTTTTTTTTTAATGTCTAAAAACCTAATTCCTCAAAAAAGAGTTGAATCGACTCTCCATTCATCAGCACCGTGGAAGGAATATATTGATATTACAGCATCACAGAGTCTCAGAGGGCAGAGGGATGGCTAGACCATCTGGTAGACTTCCTGTATGAAACACCTCCATGAAAATCCTACTACTTAGGCTTTTAGTCTCCATTTGAACAGGGAACCCACTATCATATAAAGCAAACAGCTTATTTTTATATAATCCAATTATTTGAAAAATCCTTAAAAGACAAACTGACATCTGCTTCCCTATAATTTTTCTAACCATAGGTTCTGGTTCTAACTTCTGCATAAATATAGAATATATTCTATTCATTTCATCTGGCACTCATTTGGTATATAAAGACTTCTGTGAGTGCTCCTCTGAGTAAAGCATTCTCTATGCCTTCAGTTGTCCTTTAAGACATTATTTCTAGACCTTTTACCTGCTCTGAAATATATATGCTCCATTTTATGAAACTCTGTCTTGTAGTGTTTTTCCTAGAATTAAATACATCTTTGGTTATGGTTTTCCCAGTGAAAACCAACGAGGCCACTGCATCTTCTGAAATAAATTTCTGTGATTTCAGTCCAAAATAGCATTAGTGTGTTTTGGATACTCTTATTGTTGATTTACATTAAGCATGTGGTGAAGCAAAACTTTTAAAATACACTCTGATCTCACTTCTACCAGTAGTGGATTAAAACTCAGTCAGATCCCTTTAAGTCACTTACTCATGTTGTTATTTAACCATTTCTATCAATGCATTTTTTTTTCTTTTTAGCCTAATTTTAGGGCCTTACTTTTTTCACATTAAATTTTATCTTATTGTATTAGGTTAATTTGTTCCAAACTCTTAAGATAATTTTAGACCTTAAGTGTATATTCAATTCTTTACCATCTTAGCCACCCAGAAGGCGGCCAATGTAGCAGACATAAGAGAGGCAGGTTCTTCCCTGGGCTGGGAAGATGCCCTGGAGGAGGGGATGCAACCCACTCCAGTGCACTCTTGCCTGGAGAAGCCCATGGACAGAGCAGAGGAGCCTGGCTGGCTGCAGTCCGTGGGCAGCAAAGAGTCAGGCACAACTGAAGTGACTCAGCATGCAGGCATATATATTGAGTACATTCAATATCCTTTCTAACTTCCCGTCCGCCAGGAGTCTAATAAGTATGCGATTTTATGCTGTCATTTAAGACATGGATATAGAAACATTAGGTCACTGCTAAATAAATAAAATGCACAGTGGTAGATATGGAAAAGTGAACAGGTAATTATGATATAGTGTCATGAAAAAGTAAAACACTCTGATAGATGAAATGAATGATGAGTGCGTGAGGGTTTCTGGCCAGGAACTGAGGTATGAATAGGGTTCTGAAAGCCAAGCAAGTTTTCCAGGCAGAAAGAGAGGTGGGAGAGAAAGGAGGATGAGCGGAGACTGAGGGGAGAGAGTGCATGGTTTACTTTAAAAGCAGAAAGGTGGAGACTTCCCAGATGACCCAGCGGCTAAGACGCCATGCTCCCAATGCAGGGCCCCAGGTGAAATCCCTGGTCCAGGGAACTAGATCCCCCATGCGGCAACGGAGATCTTGTGCAGTCAAAATCAATCAATGTTTTTTTTGAAACAAAGCTGAAAAGTGCTTGGTTGATGGGAGGGTTGCAATGCAAGCACTGTGGCCAAGAAGGCAGCAAGCCTTGAAGTCCCTGTAAGGAGTCTGGACTCCAACCGCACTGGGAACCCAGTGAAGAACCTGAACTAGCAAATGAATATGGTCAGATGGATGCAGAGACAAACTGAAATTGCCTCTCCTGGTGACAGAGAGGAAAACAGACTGGAGGGTGGTGGTGCTGCAGGCAAAAAGTCAGCTGGGAGGCTGTCGGGTCGGCCTTCCAGGTGAGGTGGGGAGAGTCCAGTTGGCCTGGAGCAATACCTGACCCCAGGCCACCGCCAGTATCTGCCTCGGCTCCTGCCACCCCTCCCTGTATGATGACCTGCCCCTAAAAACGAGTGGTTTCCCGAGCAGGTCTGCCTGTGTGGAAAAATAAAGCCAGAGAGAGAAATCCAAGTCCTTCTTTGCCATCAGGTTCTCAGAGGTTCTAGCTCTCATTGCAAATGAAAACCCTGGCTTTCCAGTTCCACACCCCAGTCTAGTGACCCTGGTTAGCATCTAGTGAGCCTGATTGAAGTCAGTTCATCCTTATGTGGCATCACGAAGTTCTAGTTCCATGGGATATGCGCAGGGGATTGAAGGAATAGCCAGGGTTAAATCCGTTTGGAAACTGCGGGTTTAACCAGAGCTAATCAGGATTGCTGAGCTGCCCTAGTGGCTGAGTGGTAAACAGTTTGCCTGCCAATGCCGGAGACCTGTGTTCAGTCCTTAGGGAGGATGCCCTGGAGGAGGAAATGGCAACCCACTCCAGCATTCTTGCCTGGAGAATCCCAAGGACAGAGGAGCCTGGCAGGCTACAGTCCGGAGGGTTGTAAAGAGTCAGCCAAGACTGAAACGACTTAGCACGCACGCACACAATCAGGGTTCTTGCAAAATTTATGGGGGACTGTCATATGCTGCTGTGCACTGCAAATCTCCTACAGGTAGAATGCTTTCCAAAGCTGAATGGCCATGGGAAGTATTTCTTTGTGTGGAGGATTTTTCAGAATATGTTTTGGGAGATACATCACTAATTGTGCAACTCTGAGAAGTTATTTAATCTGAGTCCAGTTTTCTTATTTTTAGAAAGGCAATGAAATACCTCATAGGGTTGGTATAAGCGTTAAATGAAAAAGAAACAGTGTATATAAAATGCTTTAGCACACTATCTGGCACATAGTAAAATCTCAAAATTATTATTATTATATTGTTATTTGTATACTAGGAGAAGTAGAATAGCACAATGGATAAGAGTATGGATTCTGGAACCAGACTGTCTGGACCCAGATCTCAGTTCTGAAACTGACTATCTTCATGACTTTGGACAAGTTA